GGAATCTAATTTTTTTTTAAATAAACGGGTTTTCGGGTTGACTCGGCAACCCGCCGGGTCAACCCGAACCCGACCGATTTTTCAAACGGGTCGGGTCCAACCAGGATTTTCCGGATCGGGTCCGGGTTGGATTTTCGTGTCGTGTCAAATATTGACACCCCTAAATGACGGTACATGAGGCGATCCATTCAAAGTTGGAGGGAGTTCAAGGACTGTTTACTAAAACATTTTCAAACCAGTAAGGGAGGAGACTTTTATGACCTGATGCAAGAGGGGACAGTAACAGAGTACCATGATCGGTTTGAGTACCTAACTAGCAGGTTGGATCGGCTTTTTGAGACAGTGCTAGAGGGGAACTTCATGAAGGGGTTCAAACCAGATATTAGAGCAGCTTTTAGAGTGATGAGGCCGCACAACTTGGGAGAGGCCATGGAGTTGGCGCAGTTCGTCGAGGACCAATAGCATCTGGAGCATTTAAGGGTGGTCTTTGGAGTGCTACAGGAGCATCAGTTCAGGGCCAACTTGAAGAAATGCAGCTTCGCATAGACTAGTGTAGAGTACATGGGACACGTGATATCTCAGGAGGGGGTGACAATAGATATAAACAAAATTGAAGCCATGCATAAGTGGTCTCTACCTAGAAACTTGAGGGAGTTGAGGGGTTTCCTTGGATTGACAGGTTATTATCGGAGGTTTGTGAAGGGGTACAACAACATAGTCTTGCCTTTGACAGAGCGGTTGAAGAAGGATAGCTTCGTGTCAGGAAAAGCGGCTACCCTGGATTTCGAAAAACTTAAGAAGGCGATGACCACAGTACCCTTGTTGGCTTTACCAGACTTCAGTCAGACTTTTATGGCGGAGACAGATGCGTTCGGATATGGGTTGGGGGTAGTGCTGATGTAGAATCATAGACCCATAGCCTACTTCAGTCAGGTGTTGTCAGCCAGAGCTAGATTGAAGTCTGTATATGAACGAGAATTGATGGTCTTCGTGTTGGCTATTCAGAAGTGACGACCATAGCTGCTGGGACGACACTTCATCGTTAGGACAGATTAAAGGAGCTTGAAATACCTATTGGAGTAGAGGATGGTAACAGAGGAACATCAGAGGTGGCTGTCTAAACTATTGGGATATGATTTCGAGATCCAGTACCGACCATGGTTGGAGAATAAGGCGGCCGATTCCTTATCCAGGTGTAGGGGAGAGCTCCATGTGATGACCATTTGAGTGCCCCTGA